GAGAAGGGGGGGGGAGAGGCGGGGGATCGGTCTTCGGAGCTAGGAGGCGTGAAGGCAAAGGGTTTGCCTGTAGATACAAAAAAAAAACAAAAAAAAAAATAAAATAAAATAAAATAAAATATATTAAAAAAATATTTAAAAAGGAATGAGTAAGCGGATACTGAGAGACAACAAGCAGCAGAAAGAAAGAAAAAATATAAAAAGCTAAGAGAGAGAGAAAAAGAGAAAAAGAGAAAAAGAAAAAGTAATGATGAAGCAGATAGTGAGCGACTAGAACGCGGGGGGGTGTTGTACTGCTGAGGTGTACAGACACCGCAAGGTAGAGAAGAAGAAAGAAAATAATATTTTTATTTGTTTTATGAAAGTATTTTAAAAGAAGAAAAGAAAAAGAAGATAAAAAAAAAAAAAAATAAAGCAATACAACTTCTGCTGCGGCAGAGAGGGGTATGCGGTACCCACCAGGCACGAATACAGGGGCATTGGAGTTGAGAGAAGATTTCGACATTGTGAAAAAAGAATAAAAAAAAGAAAATAAAATAAATAAATAAAATAAATAAACAAAAACCCTCGCCCCCTTCTCTGTTCCTTATACACCCAACACCCCGCTCAGGTGTATACGCAGCTCTAAGCTTGCACCGCACCCCCCTCAAGCAGAAAAAAAAAAAAAGGAGAAATAAAATATAACAAAAATATTAATTTAAAGAAATAAATTCTTTATAATTACAAACAAAAACACAAAACTTATGCAGCTTACTGCTGCTGTTTCATAGTTTCTGGGGCTGGCTGGTGAGCATGTACTGCATACATACATACATACCCCGAAACGAGAAAAATTCAACTTTTGTATTTTCTCGTTTCTACAATTTTTTTTATTTTTTTTTATTTATTTTTATTCTTTTTCTCAATTTTCCGCTTCTAACAAGCCCCAATACACCTGCTGAGCTGTACATACACCTCATTTCTTCTTTTTTTTATAGCCTGCTGGAGCATGCAGCTACAACACCAGTTTTTGTTTGGCTCTGGTGTTTTATATATTTTATAATATATATATTTTTTATAAGTTTATTCATATATAAACAAACAACAAAAAAAAATATTTTTTTTTTTTTTTTTTTTTTTTTTTTTTTT